GACCCGCAGGCGCACGGCACGGAGCTGGACGCCCCAGGTCCGGGTCCCGCTCGGGGTCCTGGCGAGCACGGCGCCCCAGCCGCGGGCCAGGGTCGCTGGGCTCGGGCGGCGCCGGTGGCTGGAGTGGCTTCCCCAGCGCAAGTCTCGCTCATCAGCACGTCGTTCGTGCTCAAGGGGGACGCGACACACAATCAGGCGATGGTGCACTGGACGGGCGAGAACAGCAGCGTAAGTGACCTCCGCGCGCTTCTCGCGGCCCCTGCCCGGGGCATCCGGAGCACTCCCGCGAGGGTTGCCACAGTCCTCTACTTCGGGGTCACTCCGCGGCTGTCCCAGGCGTTCTTGGCGACTTGGGAACGCGGGTCACTTTGGCGGCACCCCCCACTGGCCTCCCGTCACCAGTTACTTGGGGAGAGGTCCCCAGATATGTGAACTTCCGTCTCCGGCAGGGACAGTCCCACCGATTTCGGGACCCTAAGCCACCTCGGGGATTCCTCCTGGACCTCCAGATCTCAGGGTACTGGGGAGGTCCCCAGAGGCTTCGGGAAATCGGCCACCTCGGGGGCCACCCTTGCGGATCATCCCAGCCGCGTTGACTCGATGGCCCCCACACCCCATCTGTGCCCTCAGCGCCGGTTCGGATTTCTAGCTCCAAGATTCTCCCTCTCTTGTCTACCTGGGACCCCGCAGGTGGCGCCTTTGCGGGCGGACCTTCGGACTTCCCGGTCAGCTCCATGTCTTGTCTGGACTCAGAATTCTAGTGTTTCCCCTCACCCCAGAGGGACCCCTTCGCTAACGTGAACCCTGGCTGCTCTGAGTGCTCCGCTGGAGTCTCCTGGATGGGCCCAGACCCACCGCCTTCCCGGTTCTGCACCCTCAGGACCCACTTGGTCCTGCAGGACAGTCCCCGCCTTCCCCACCTCCTCTGGCTTGGCCCTAGCTGGAAGCTCTCCACTTGAGCCCACTTGGTGGCCCAGGTTAGCGACCTCCTGCCCCCGCCCGCCCTTTGGTGTACAGCCAAGGCTCCTGGGTCCCTTTGAACTCTTCCCCAGGCGGCCTTAGCCTCCCTTTACCCCTGGGAAGGGCGCTATTCACTTTGGGGTCACCTCTGGGGTCAGTCCCTAGTGAGTCTGCTCCAGTTTTGCAGGTTTTGGAGAAGGACTGGGGCAGGGAAGTGGCAGCGAGTCTTTGGGGGTAGAGGTGAGATGGGGGCCCCTCCACCACCATGCACTCAGCTCTTCCTCTCTCCTTGCTCCCCGGAGTTCTGCGATGGTAGCCGGGGGCAGGGTTTCTGCACACTGGGAGTGGAGTTGAGTGGAGTGGGTGGGTCATGGCTGGTTCAGCTGGAACAGGCTTCTCCCCACCAGCTCCTCTACCCCACCGGCTTCTCCCAGGTGCTGGGGATTTGTGCTGGAGCAGAGAGAGGGTAGGTGGACAGATCTGCTGGGACGGGGTGGCATGGACTGGACGCCACCGTCCCAGAGCCCTGTATAACCAGCTAGGAGCTGCCAGAGTGCAGGTGCCAGCTCTCTGGTCTTGGACCATTTCCGGCATCTCCAGGGAGACTAGAAGCCCTCAGCGGGCAGAGCTGGGCACGGTGGGCAGCAGGGGGCAGCCAGGGTGCTGACTGGGGATCCTTCCAGAAGGTAGCAGGTGTCCCCTTCCTAGAAGGACCCTGGGGCGCCCTCCCCATCTGCAGCTCGAGAGAGGGGTCAGCCCCAGGCGTGCAGCTGGCCAGCCCTTTATTTCTCCCCAGTACTTGTGGACAGACCTTGGCTCCTGTAACTCAGGGGCTGAAGGGTAACCCGGAAACCGCGACCTCCAAGGACCAAATAAACACTGAAAGTAAATCCTGCAGAGCCAGACGTGTCTAAACCAACTGTCCCCAGCCCTGCTGCTGAGCTTGTGGATCCAGTAGCTTTACTCTGTCCTTTGTCATTTAGCTTCACGGTGTTGGGAAGGGTGAAGGAGACCGAGTCTGGGGGATGGAGGAGCTGTAGGACATGGGGCCAGCTGCCTTCTGGGCACCATTCTAAGATATCAGCTTAGGCACAGCGCTAGTTCTTTGGAGAAAGTTGAGAAAGGAGCTTGGGCCAGTAGGGCTGGGGGACCGGGGGACTGTCAGAGGGGCCCGCCTGGCTTTGCTCCTTGGCAGGGGTGGCTGGGTTGGGGAACTGCTTTGTGCTCAGGTGGGCTCGGGTCCTAGCTGCTGCAGGTGACTGCTGGGGGGCAGGGGGGGTAGGTTGTGAGTAGGGGGATGAATAGGGGGGCTTACTGGCTTTTCTTTAGCAGGGCAGGGGCAAGAAGTCTGAGGACCTCAGGGGGAGCTTAGAGGGGTGCAACTCCTCTGGCTGGGAGAAGAGGTGGTGCTTTACGAGTTTTACCTTTTCTGGAGAAAGCTCAGAATCCTGGGGGAAGAGGAGCGAAGGCTTTGCCCAGGAGCTAACTAAGTAAAACTGTTGTTAAAAAATTGTTGTTACTTTCTCAGTGTTGTTGGCTTGGGTAGGGTCTCCTCGGCATGCGAAGTGTCTTAGGAATGCTCTTTGTTCTGACGGGCTGCCACGGGGGGGGCAAAGGTTTTAGCTCGGGGTTGGGTTGGCAGGTGGTTTGCCGTCTTCCAGAGCTACAGTAGGCAAGAAATGAACTTGTGGCAGAGTGGAGTCTTCATAAAATTTTATTTCCTCTCACTTGCCCATTGTCCTCCGCAGGTGCGGTCAACCTGAGCAGAGTGTTTACTGAGTCAGGTGTTTTTCAAAATTAAAAAGCAGCATTTGGTGAGGGGGATGGACTTTTTAAAATGGCATCGGAGAGCATCTTACTAAAAAGAATTACAGGATTCAAGCTGGTTCTGAGACAAGCCTGCTTCGCTGCAGCTCCGCGAACATATGTGAGTTTTCCTTCCAAAGGCTTGATTCTTCCTGCTCCCATGGAGATATGGAAGGGGACTTGCTGGAAGTTCAAACACTGCCTCTCTGTCTGACGTTTAGCTGTGGAAACAAATTGTTACGTGTGAGATTAATGTTTCATTGAAACCAACCGGCATTCCGGTTTTATGGCTCCAGAACCGGCCGTGCGCGGTGGGCTACAGGGTTTGCGTCTCCTGAGCCGCCCTCCGAGGGAGCGGAGCTATTTGAAGGTGGATGAATATTACAGAGTGCTGGGCTCTGCCTTTAGGGTTGTGGCTTCATGTTACCCTGGTTGGAAATGTGTGTGCCATGTCCCAATTTTACTGTTTCTGTGAAAGTGTGCATTTATTATTCTTAAGTAGATCTTAGCAGGGCTCCTTCTCTCTTGGCACTTGAACTTCAACTTTGAAGCATCAAAACAAACGCTGGACGTGAGCTTCCTGCAGCCAGGCGTTTGCTCACTGTTCACAGCAGATTGGGCCCTGCGTTTCCCCTCCCCACTCCCAGCTTCCCTCCTGGTTTTCCAAGTCTGCTCTGTGCTGAGTTTCCCTGTCGGGGATGTTGAAGGATGCAGAGACAGTGCTGAGATTACCCCCACTCTGCGCTGGGGTCCGGAAGAACCCAGGATTTGTGTGTGTTTTATATCCAGAGAGCGAGAGCTGCAGGTCGGAGAGCTCCCACGCTGGTTTCCTGAGTCAGGAGGGGCAGACCAGCAGTCAGTTCCTTCACCTGGCCTTTCTCTGACTTGCGGGGCAAGTTGGCCATGGCACTTGCCAGGCATGGAGGTCCTTGAGGGCAGGTATGTTGGTTTGCCAGGGCTGTCATGAAGCAGCATCACCGGGTGGGCAGTTCAAACTGCAGACATTTAGTCTTTCAAAGTCCTGGAGGCTGCAAGCCCGAGGGCGAGGTGGTTTCCTTGGAGGGCTCTCTCCTTGCCTGTGGTTGGCCTGCTCCTCCCTGCATCCTCCCAGGGTCTCTGGGCGCGTCTGTGCCCTGGTCTCCTCTTGGAAGGACACCAGTCCTGTTGGTTCAGGCCCACCCTACTGACCTCATTTTACCCTAACCACCTCTTTAAAGACCCTGTCTCCAAATACAACCACATTCCGAGGTCCTGGGAGTTAAGATTTCAACGTATAGATTTTTTTGGGGGATGAGAAGATTCAGTCCCTAATAGCAGGAAGGGGGTCTCAGTTACCTTTGTGTCCCTGAGCTTAACATGGTAGAGCTCAGAGTAGTCCAGTGGGAGGGAAGAAATGCACATGAACAGCTAGCATATGAAGGGTCTTGTCATCTTTCTCTAATGACATTCATGGGAAGTCAGGGAAGACTGCATGGAAGAGGTGGCATCAGGGCTGACCCAGAGAATGAGTAGGTAGAGTATACGGGAGATAGAGAAGAATATTCTGGTAAGAAGAATAGCTTGAGCATGGCCCAGAGGACCGAAGGTGCATTTATGTCTATAAAGGGACAGTGGATACATTGTGGCTGGGAAGAAACGTGCCTTGGAAAAGCAGGTCGCAGTCAGGTAAGATGCACCCCATATGTGAGGGTGAAGAGCAGACCGAGTATGGCAGTGCGCACAGCGGACATTGGCAAGTAAGCTTTGGCCCTGCCCTCTTCTGCTCCAGGATCTGCGGCAGATGGGTTAGTTCTCTGGGCCTCAGTCTCTGCGTCTCAGTAATGGGAGACGTGAAGGCGCACAGGCTTGTTGCACAGGTTAGTGAGATCTTCCACGTGAAAGGCATTCATAGAGTGAATTTAGAGCCTGGCCGTGGCAGGAGCTCTGAGTGACGTCAGGGTCAGGCCCGGTTTAGAAAGAGCCTCGGGGGCAGTGTGGGGGGTGGGTTAGTGAGGGCCATGGGGAAGGGACGTTTATTTCACCTGGGAGAGGCCTGGAGAGCTAAGAAGGGGCACAGGTAGAGGAGGATGAGGAAAGTGGACAAAGTCGGGGTGGGGTGGGATGGAGGCACCGAGATGGGGTTAGGAAGCTGCAGGAGGTGCCGGGAAAGGGCAGCGGGGGCTGTCGGGGGCTGCCGGGGCTGTTGGGACTGCCGGGGCTGTTGGGGCTGTGACCAGTGCGTGCTGGTGGAAGCAGAGGCTCTCTCCCGGGGGGTGGCTGCATCTCCTAACAAGGGCTTGAGAGAGACTCTCGTCTTCGAGGAAGCTGGGGCTGGCCTGCACCCACACTCCTCCCCGGACTGGGGACGAGGGGGCCAGCCTCCTTTGCGTTCTCCCCTACGTTCAGCGGGTGAGTCTGCAGTGGATTCAGGCTCCATCCTACTCCCACGTTCTGTCCTGGCCATGCCTTTTTAAGGCCAGTCT